ATATATATATATATATTTTTTTTTTTTTTCCAATTTGGAACACCTAATCTAGTTGTTAGTGGGTTGGCCTACAAACCATTATTTGTTTTGTATTTTATTAATATGTTTATTATATTACGAAATTTAATTAATTATCAACGAGTATCAACCCGCAAAGAAAATAAAAAGTCACACTTGTTTATGTTTTTTTATTTGTTTCTTAAGTTAATTTATATATTTTTTTAACTTTTAATATGCAGGTTTGGTTAGTTAGTTTAACTTTAATGTGTTGTGGGAAGCGGGTGTGGACCAAAAACAAAAAAGTAAAGCCTGTTTTAAATGTGGACCAACCTGACCTATTAAATTTGTGGATCAATGCAAATAGGCCTAAATTGACCAGGCTAACCCATATACACACACACCTTTAGTAATAGATTAGGGTGACCTTTCATTTGCTTCTCATCAGTAATGAGAGATCTTTCATGCAAACCTCGTTTCTTAGTTATCAAGACATACCCTAGCTGGTTTGGAGGTAAAGTCATCCATATCTTTTAACTTTTAGCTTTGCTTCGTTGGTATTATAAGGAAAACACAAATCGCGTTCCCATAATTTACAAGAGGACTTAGACTAGACTAGTAATAAAATTATTATAAAAGAAGCTTATAAAAATAGTTGAGCGCAACCAAAGCAATTAATTTTTTTTTGTTTTTTGTTTTTTAGAGAATAAATAAGAGTTTAATTAATCTTGAAAAATAAAAAGGGTGGAATTATTTTAAAGTTAATCATCTATACAATACTAGTATAATTTTTTTTTACATTAATAACTAATTAAAATTTTAAATAATATTATGTCAGCTACTTATTTAATGAAATAAAAATAAAATAAAATAATTTAAAAAATATAAAATTTTACACTGACATTATATTAGTGATGATATATTATTTTATATATGTTTTAAAGAATGTTCTTGGAACACTAAAAAGAAAATGCTCTTAATTATGAATAATAATTGTTGAATGAGGCGGTGAGGTAGGTAAATAGGAGAGCGTTGTTTCAACGAGTTTGTGAGTTTTAGTCCAACTTGTTGAAGATGTTATCTGGCAGTGAGAAAAAGAAGCAACGAGCGCACTATCTTAATGAAAAATCAAAATAGAAACAGCAGTGTTGCTAATAAATTCGTTGAGAATGAGAATAAAGTTTGATCAATGGTTACGAAATTTGTTAGTAGTGATAGTAGAATTTTACCTCCTGGGTAAAAGTGGTTGGGAAATTTAACTTTAGAAATTGGTGAGTGGTAAGTGGTAACAGTGGGCGATGGCATGGCGTTGGCGATTGGGGAGGGAGTAGGGAGGAGACATTAGCGATGCACGTGTATTATAAAGGAGGGAAGAAAATAATAAATGAAAAGAGAAAAGGTGGATGAGAGAGGCATAAATAAGATGAAAAGGGAAGCGGAAAAGGAGGAAAAATTGGGAGAAAAGTTAAGGCGAGGGGTATTGGTAGGGAAAAGCAAGGCCCCGTGCACTCCAGTGTTTTACGCACATCAATTCCATTCTCTCTCTGCTAGAAACCTCGCCGCGGCTCTCTGGGAATTCAACCAACTCTTTCAAATGCATCGTCCTGCCAATAACGCCGCCGATCCGACCCTCCGCCGCCGCCATTACATCCTCCATAGGGACAAGGCTCCGGACACCTCCAACTTCCTTGCTGATGCTTCTCCCACTTCCCTTGATCAGGTACCTATTCTTCTTTCTCTTTTATTATTTATTATTTATTATTTATTATTTATTATTTATCATTTATCATTTATTATTCATATCTGCTCACTGAATAGTGATCCTTTTGAAGAGCGTTGGGACTTATGTATACTGCTAGCTAGGTTAACAAATACTGATAGTTTTTTTTTTCTTCTTCTTTTCTTTATAATATATATGTTGACTTGTGGTCTATGTTGTTATTAGTGATTTATTCCTCAAATGTTGTTTCAGCGTCACCAATGTATTCTTTATTATGTTGCGCTGAATCTAAATTGCCTGATGTTTCTCTTTCCTTCTGTATGTATTTGATAGAATCATCTCTTTCATTGTGTCGTATTAGTATACTGCCTGCTTTCATTTTTTTTTTATTAAGCTGTGTTTGTTGAAGATCAAATAATAATATATTTCCTTGGTAATTATAATTGAAAATTTTAACTTAGTATTAATTGCGTCGATGAGCATTGAGACATGTTTAGATGGTAAAGTGAACTCGTGCACTGTAATGGAGGCAGCACTTCTAGTTAATTTTAACTGATTTTTTTTCTTCTTTTTCATCAGCCAGCCAGTGCGAGCAGTTTGAGGAGGCATGTTGCAGCAACTCTAATGCAGCATCATCGGGCAAATGAGAGAAATAACCATGCACTACAACCTTTATCTCCTGCGAGTTACGGTAGTTCCATGGAGGTAAGCATGAATCTTGCCCCCGACCATGAACTTCCCACCTTCTTTTCCTTTTCTTCTGGCTAACACTTTTAGAACTTGACTATGGAAAGGCACATGACAATATCCTTCTATGTAAACATGTTTTTTTTTTTTTTTTTTTTTTTTTTTTTTTTTTTTTTTT